TAGAGGCACACATCACGTACAAAAGCATATTTGTACAAAATGTTTATGCGGCGTAGAAGCCGTAGTTTAAACATTCAACGAACAGCAAACAAGCCAGGTTGCATAATAACTTACATTGTAAACACACTCCTTTCTAATCGTTTGGAACGTTTGCCCACGCAGTATTGTTTATGTATTAATACATTTGCATACAATCAAACATCAAATATGTAAGTATCCGAGTATGAGTATGTACGTATGTAAAAGTGTACGTGTGTGTATGCCAACAGGACAACTTTGGCGGGACCGGACCAAAAATTAGAAAATGTTTAAATTTTCACGGGGGTCCAAGATTTGTGGCAGTGTGGCTGACGAACTTTTTTGAATATCACATTCAATGTTCGGTCCATTTCACACATAAAACCGTTTTTATTTTGTCTTTTTAAAAACTGCTCACAACGGCCCCCTAGATCCGTGACTGATGTATGTGTGCATGTATGTATGCATGTATGTGTGTATGCATGTATGTATGTATGTATGTATGTATGTATGTATGTATGTATGTATGTATGTATGTATGTATGCATGTATGTATGTATGTATGTATGTATGTATGTATGTATGTATGCATGTATGTATGCATGCATGCATGTATGTATTTATGCATGTATGTGTGTATGCATGTATGTATGCATGTATGTATGCATGTATGCAATTATACATGTATGCAAATACACATATGTATTTGTATGTTTGCAAAATTATTTTTGAATATAATTTAAAATTCTTTGTTTAAATTAAGTGATAGATAAAATACTGCAAGACACTGGACTGATAAAAAACTAATCCCGCTAACGATTCATTGATCAATACCTCCCCATCAGCTGTTGATACATTCCCTTGTTGCATCACGAACGTCACTGCAGTTTGATTCCCCCAACATTCTCATCTTCAAAGTTCCAATGTTTTTATCAAACAACTTTCCACCTCAGAAATTGTTGCATTTTAGCATGTTTGGAGTTGTTGGTGTTCGGCTGTTTCTCCCCGGTCCTCTGCAGCGAATATTTTTTCAAATCTTTCTCATTTGATGGCGTGAAATTAATCCGATCATTTGTTCCTCTTGGTTGCAAATGAGTTCAGATAGTGATAAACTAAAACTAAACTATCAGATGTTAAGCTTGAATTGGTAGTTTGTTGCTGTCCAGAGTTTGTCCAGAGTAGTTTGTTGCTGTCCCGATATTTCAATTTGCCAAATGTGCAGTTATCTTATAATTTATATTGGCCACAGTTTTCAAAAGTAATTTTAAAGTTAAATTCTATAAATTAAAGTGTTAATTAATTAAAATGTTAATTAAAAAAATGTTAAATAATTAAAATGTTAGTTAATTAAAATGTTAATTAAAAATGTAATTAATTAGCGATTAAAATGCAAACGGCATCCTGTTGACGCGAAGACAGCTTGCATAATAAACATTCAACTGGTTGCCACCAAATCAATGAAAATCAATAAAATGCCATGCTAGTGAGACATTATAAGAAGCGTATCAGCGTTCTTACGCAACGGACGCGTTTTCATCGGATCGTGATTGCTGGCAGATCCCTGACACTAAGTCTGTAGCATGTTTCTTTTGTCTTTGCTGTTTTGTTGGTGGCGATGATGATAATGTTGTTGGTTGTTTGTTGGTGGTTCTTGATTATATGCTGCAAGTAAATACTCCTAAAAACCCCACCATTTATAATATTATGAATAACATCATGTTTAGTGGATGACAACAAATTCTCTCTCATAGGTAGCACAATGTCTAGGTAGGTAGGTAGGTAGGTAGATAGGTAGGTAGGTAGGTAGGTAGGTAGGTAGGTAGGTAGGTAGGTAGGTAGGTAGGTAGGTAGGTAGGTAGGTAGGTAGGTAGGTAGGTAGGTAGGTAGGTAGGTAGGTAGGTAGGTAGGTAGGTAGGTAGATAGCTAGGTAGGTACTCGGCCACGTGTGATTTAGCGCATCTGTTCTTTGGCATTTGAACCGAGCCAGAGCAGCAGAGACTTCCAGTCAGTTAAAAGCCATCCGACCACTAAAAGAATTGTTACTTCACATCGCATTTCACATCACAAAACCATCGGCAGCATCAACACAAACACCACGTATGATTATTATTAATAGCATTAGCAGAGTTAATGACAATGATAATTGTAACAAAAGCAGAGCATTTTTATTAGCATTTCTGTGGCAGCAAATATCTCCACGGCAGGGCTACTCACATCATAATTTGTCACAACCACCAGTCGAGGGGTTTCAAAACTGTTGAAGTTTTTAAGAAAGGGTGGTTGTTTGTTTCCATTCTGTTGTTTCAACACACACAAACAGTTCGATTGTTACGCAGAGTCGTTGCGATGTTTGTTCTCCCCATTCGAGATGTTTTATTTTTAAACCAAACTTCAACAGCTATTCAAAATCATTAGAATCACACTCATGTTCTCAAGTGCTCGTGCAGCTCGATCAGCTGATTTCATCGACGCCTGTGTAAGCATTTGTGTTTATATACGCATACATTATGCCATAATATTATATATATATATATATCTGTGTGTGTATGTTTGTGTGTGTGTGTGTATGTTTGTGTGTGTGTGTATGTTTGTGTGTGTGTGTGTATGTTTGTGTGTGTGTTTGTGGTTTGTGTTTGTTTGTGTGTCTTATTGTATAGTAGTTATAATCACGTTTATATTAAGTATGTAATATAAATAAGTTTAATTTAGAAGCTGTATGCTTACGTGGTACGCATGCAATGGGTCATGGGTGATGTTTGCCTCTTTACCTGCGTGTGTTTATGCGGCGGATAGAGTTTTAGTGAAGAAGCCATTTAATGATTGTTGGGACACTTCTAAAATTTAAAAAACAACCTTCAAAAAACGAGTTGTACAAACTGAGGCCTTGATGGTGCCAAATCATTTGTCGCCTCTTTTGTGGGTAGAAAAATAATCAAAACATTGAGTCTTTGCCGCATGACAGTTTCATTTTGAGATTCTTGCAATTTCAATTTTGTTAATTTTAAAGTATCCATTGAAAAAAAATTTATCTGTCTCAAGCTTCAATATACAAATTAATCGATAGTATAATGAAGCGGTACTAACATAAATACACACTGCAGTGTACACACTCTTGTACTGAAATTAAATTGTATAACAAGTTTCAATGAAATACATTCTGTGGTGATGAAATGAAGATATGCAGTAAAGTACAGTGCAGTACAAAACAGTATAATGCAATTCAAAGCAGTAGAACTGAAATGAGAATGTAGGTGGCCCATGAAGGGAGACGTATTGCATGGTCCGCATGGTCTGCATCATACGTTAATCTGCTACTTGTGCCATGCAACAGAATGAAATGCTCACGTGAGATCCATTCCAAACGGCGTCCATCCATTCTGAGTCGGTGTGAGGCTATAAAAATGAAAACAAGTTTGCTTATTAGGAAATATTTCCGTTAAAAATGCTCAACATTTCGGGTCGCAGTTTTTAACAATTTTTAAAAATTTTGTACACAAGTGAAATTGTGGTTCCCTTTATAAATTGTTGTCCATCTCAACTTTTCAAAACCTCATCATCTAGGTATACATCTCAACTTTTCAACATCTCAACTTTTCAACATCTCAACTTTTCAACATCTCAACTTTTCAACATCTCAACTTTTCAACATCTCAACTTTTCAACATCTCAACTTTTCAACATCTCAACTTTTCAACATCTCAACTTTTCAACATCTCAACTTTTCAACATTTCAACTCTGCTTGTTTGTCATATAGCTATCTTCATTGTGTTTGCATCGCCATCATCATCATTGTTGTTACCATCAGCATCAATACCATCATCTTTATTTTACTCTCAAACTCAGATGACATCATAACATGTTAAAATTTTGAACAACATTGATGCCATTCATCTATTACTGTTAAAATTTCTATTTATAACAACATCATCATCACCACCAACAACAACTGTTATTATTATTATTATTATATTCTTTTAGACATTCACGCAGTGCATAAATACACGTGAATCAACGTATCGTACGCTTTTGCATGTGATGTGATGGGCGAGGATCTCTTTGCATTCGAACCCGATCACTACATCAGCAATGCCAGACACCTTATCCATTACGCCATCGCGCCGTCCAAATCATCATAACAAAATTTACTTCAGCATTTTTTCCATTATCGTATCATCATCCCACATCATCAGCAACATTCCAACCATTATCAACACGATCAAACATGTCATCAACGTTATCATCATCATCATCATCATCATCATCATCATCATCATCATCGTCATCATCATCATCGTCATCATCATCATCATCATCATCATCATCATCATCATCATCATCATCATCATCATCATCATCATCATCATCATCATCATCATCATCATCACCACCACACCACAACCACCATCATTACCATTTCTGCAATTATCATTATTGTTTCACCATCATTACCACAGTCATCATCATCTTCACCACCACCATCATCTTCACCATCACCACCACCACCACCACCGGTGCAGTCCACGTGATGGTCATTTATCTGCTGGTTGCCTTGTTTTCCAATCAACTAAAAAGCTCTCCACTCTACATTTGTTCTCAATTTGCCAGAGAACAGCCTCGTAAATAACTCTTTAAACGATTCTTCCACTTTTATTACTTTCCTCCTTCTCTCTCTCTCTCTCTCTCTCTCTCTCTTTCTCTCTCTCTCTTTTACTTTTTCATTTTAAGCTTTTTGCCAGCTTGAACTAACCAATGTATGTACTCACACACGCACACACACGCACATATATATATATATATATATATAATGTTGTATATTATTTATATATATATATATATATAAATTACTTATTTTATGATTATGGAGTGAGAATGAAATTTTATTTTATCATCGTCATCTTCAAATCTAGATCAGTGTGCACAGAGGTAAAACTTTTAAACAAATATGTAGAAATGAGTCTGTTCCACTCCAAACCAGTTAGTTTCAAACTGAAAATTTGTAAAGAGAAGCATCGAAAATTGAAAGTTTTTGAAGTTGGTTCATTGGGTCATCTTTAGAGTTCTTTCCCATCAAAGCTTCAGTGGGGTTCAAAGTATCATCTAACATGAGGTTGCATTCCATCATCTGTTCAGTCGAATCCGACCCTCTGCAGCCCCATAGACGATCCCCTCCACCTCGGTCTGTCGCAGCCCCCAACTCTTCTAGACGCAACCTGATTAGTCAGAAGTAAGTTAGTCTATATTTTGACATAAGCCATCCAGGGATAGCATTGCTTCTATCTTCTCCATTACGTAATTCAAAATTTGCCAAATATTTCGTTGAATGTGGAGTTGATCTCAACAATGACAAACCTGCCGTCACAGATCTTGCTGAAAGTTGATGCATCGTCTGCAGCGCAAATAAATAACGCTTGTTCATTTACAATAGTTTACAAAGCTCTGTATCGATCGCTTCATATACACTTTATATCTTATGTACTTGTGTGTATGTGACTGTGTGCGTTATGGTTTCTGGTTCTGAAAATATGGTTATGTCTGCATTTGAATGTACGTGTGTTTATTTATGTGTGCGCGTTTGTGTATGTTCATGTATACAAGTCAATGTTTATATGTGCCACGTGGCTATGCATTCAATTGTACACATACACTTTAATCAGTGTGTGTATAGGTATACACATATTCAAGCTTAATGTATGTACGTGTTGGTGTGCGTGTGTATGTGTATGTACTTGTGTGTGTGTGTATGTGTTTATGGCTGGCGTCTCTAATATGTTTGTATATATTATATATCAGTGTACACACACACACACACACATATATATATATATATATATATATATATATATATATATATATATATATCAGTATATATATATACATATATATAGTGTGAGGTATGAGAGAAGTTCAGTAGATTGTGTGTGGAACAATGAGGCAGGCAAACCTTCATTGATAATCTATTAAAAGAACGAATGCCATTTAATAAATTGTTCTATAGTTTATTTATTGCTAAACGTTTCCTGCATGTTGTATATATATATATATATATATATATATATATATATATATATATATATATATATATATATATATATATATATATACATATATATATATGTATATAATATATACGTATGTATATATATATCATATGATTTTTAAGACATGTTATGTATGTGTAGTGTATCTCTCTCTCTTTCTCTTTATGTGTGTGTGTGTGCAACTGTTTTGTTTCATGGCCGGCCAACTTGAGCATTAATTGTATTAGTAAGCCCCTCAAGTGGAACAATTTTTCATATGTGTTGGTGGCTTCCAAATATTTCGATTTCATGTTTTTGTTGTAAAAATTGTGTTCTCTTAAATTTTCAATTATGAGCCGTCAACTGACCTGCCAACTCAAACCAGACAGATCAACACTGTCCTCCCAGCAACAGCTCCAACAATACCGCTTTCAACAACAATAAGAAGATCAACACCTCAAACAACTCCAACATTCCCAATAACTGCAACAAGAAAAACAAAAAGCTGTAATAAAAAATCGTTGGATGCAGACAATGACAAGAGCCATTCAGTTGGTGGCAATGTGTGACTATGCAATGTTGTTCAGCTGCTCCTTCCTACCCCTCCAACATATTCACTTTCATTTGTTCTTCGAGGTTTCCTGCTCACTGTTGACGTAATCTTTTAAAATAATTCTCATGGAATGAAAGAATGCATGAATGAATGATGGATGGACAAACAAGCAGCTAAATAGAACCAATTTTTGGGAGTAAAGTGCGCCAGAGAGGTTACTGAATTCCATCCTATTTGAACGTTGAACAACGAACACAGTAAATAACTGAATAAGCGAACTCCGTGGAATCTGTAGGACGACACGTGATCAAATGAGCAGACGAACAAAACGAACGAGAAACAAATGAACGAACGAATAATACATTTTTTCATGCATCCGGTGCGCCTAGCCAAGCACTTCCGCTCCGGCCCATATCCAATTCTATGGAAAAACAACAGCAGTATCCGCAGCAATAAATAACATCAGTATTGACAACACCAGCCGTGATATCAACCACAACGATATCAACAACAACAGCAACAACATCGTTACCAACAACAACAACAACAACATTACCAACAACAACAACATTACCAACAACAACAACATTACCAACAACAACAAGGTCAACAACAACATCCACATTACCAACAACAACAATGCCAACAACATTAACAAGTATAACAGTATCAGCAACGACAATGATAGCGACAACAAACAGCACATCAACAACAGTAATAACAACACTAGTAACAATAACACCTGCAACAACCACAGCTACAGAAACATGAAGTAGTGCCTACCTTTCGTTATTTCTATTCAACTCAATACCAGACTGCTCCATACCAAATTCTACCTTTGTCTAACTTATGTATGTATGTATATAAATAT